TCAGACCTTCCAGCTGCATGGTGGCATGCTGGACACAGGGACAGAGAAAATTAATGTCAGAGACCCCAGCCAAGGCAGTCCCACCCCGGCAGCAGCCTGTCTGCGCCTGCCTGCAGCTGCGCAGGAGGGATCGCCCGTCCCCAGGCGCCGGTGCTGCCACAGGGGAAAACCGGCCCAGGCGGTGGCTGCGGATTTCCAGGAGACCTGGATTAAATGCTTTCATTTCCAGAAGGTGAAGAGCTGGGTTTGTTTCCATTCCCGATGCAGCACAAAACAGGTTGCTGCACCTCAGCGTTACTGCCCAGAGCATTTAAAAAAATGTGATTTTCCAGAACCCCTGTCCTCTGCAGGAGGGGGACGGCTGGATTCACCACCACGTTGTGACCTTTCTCAAAGGGAGGGGAGACGCTTTCAGACGGACCCCAGTTACGCTTCAGGAATGGGGAAGCTGTGACTCTTGCTGCCCTTGCTGGGAAGCAGGGATCAGCATCAGCGCTGACTGGCAGGGAGGGATTAAACCATTAAATGGTCCCAACGGTTTCTGGCTGGGGCTGATGGCAATTATACCGACCATAACTGTCACGTCCACGGCGCGTGGTGTAAATGCCAGGCTGATCAGTGAAGGTTGTATCTGTCTGTTGCATCCTGTTATTATAAACCCTCGTAGCTTACAGCGACGTTATTTCATTATAAACCCTCGTAGCTTACAGCGACGGTATTGCCAACAGCGCTGAGCTCAGAGCACGGATACAAATCCCGTGGCGTATTTAATTCTCCCGTGTCTGTTGGGAGCATGCCCCATGCATGGGCGTTCGGTGGCATGGCTGGATTTGTTCTGCTCTTGCTGAGCACTGGGTACGGTGTGTCACCGGTGCCACTGGCATTGTCCCCAGGCTGGGGGATAGCCCCGGCTGCAGCCCTCTTGCTGTGGCCGATGGCACAAGGGCCGTACCCTACTCGGTCCCCGGGCAGGTGGGCTGGTTTGAGGTGTTAAAATGTGCAAAACGGTGTTGGGCATCACAAAGAAGGGAAGAGGAGGGCAGCCTGTGCCGCCCCGGCATCGCGCTCAGAGCCAGGGCTGCAATCGTCGTGGTTTGGCTTCAAGCTGGGGTAAACTGAAGCTGGAGCTTTAAATATATAACACATTAACTCCAAAACCACAGGAATTTAAAGTCTCTCTTAACACTGTTAATGTTCTTGCACTGCCTTCCAGCGTTTTCTGGGGTGCGTGGAGGTGAGCCTGGGCTCCTGGCTTTAAAAACTACAAGGCTGAAGTTGGGCGACGTGTGGGAGGTCTCCGACACACCAGCCAAATAGTTTAGGCATGGATTTGGTAGGTGCCGATGCATCTTATTGCAGATCTTACGACTTAATTAGGTTGGTTTGTTTGCCTCTGCCTTTCAAAGGTGTGGTGAGATTATCTTCCGTCCCTTTGGGATAACATGAGGAAAAGTCTCGCAGTGGATTTATTTCAGGGTCGTGGAAGCAAAGGGTTTCTTCTGCAGACCAGCGACTGGTTCTTATTGGGATTAATACTGTCAAAATCACATGACGAACATTTTTAACCTCTTTCTTTTATTTACTAGATAAAAATTATCCCTTATTAGCAGCTTATGTGTAAAAAAACCCTGTCTTTTGCAAGATCATTCTCCTGCAGTTGAGCAGTCACCAGGGGTTAAAGCAGGCACGTGCCCTGCAGTGCCTCCAGCAATGGGCTGGCTGTGGTGTTGGTAAATTTTGGGTTCCACTCAGAATCTGATCTGCATAATTTTATTTTATTTTTATTGTTTCACTTTAGCAGCTGTTACACCAATGTAGATAACCTCTGCAGGGCAAGCAGAGAGAACTAATGTCGTATGCGGGTAGACGTATGAAAACATCTAATTTACCAGCAGGCAGTTGGGTAATGATCAGTTGAGAATTGCAAATTACGTACGTCATATATTTGTGGCATGCTGCTGAAAAGAAGCCCAGTGCATATGACAAATCATATATATACTGAAATTTATAATACTTTTCACATCTAATTGACTGGGGCAACCTTATGATTTATATCTTTGCTTTATTCACAGCATACCCATAACATAGTCATAATGTGGAACGAAACGAATTCAATTCCTCCTTGACTTTGTAAATCATTTCTATATTTGGCTGTCAAGTATTTGAATATAAAGTGGGCATACATACGGCAGAAAATAAATAGCTGATTCTCTAGTTAAAAAATTGAGTTTTAATGCTATTAGGGTCTGTGTTGCCTTACTTGGATGTTTGGTCTTGGGTAGCGTGCCTTACGTTTGCCCCTTGCCTTATTTCACGAGCAAAGAATATTTTATGGGCACCGGCATTAAGCTCCTAATGGCCCTATACGGTGTAGCGACTGCGTAAAAGGTACTTGGCTTGCTTTGATGGCAGCAGGAGCCCTTCCCAGGCTCCGGAGCAGTAAGTGGCTGAGCTCTGGGCTGCGGCTCTTGGTCACAAGAGGTCTGCTTGAACATGCCAGGGACTGCGGGCAGGGGCTGCCTCATCAGTGCAGTTCTGTAGATAACAAGAAGAAAGTCTTATGTTGGCTACAACAGACCGTGATTGCTTTCCCAAAGATCAGGTTTTGCCATGGAGCTATCATGCAGAGTCATTGAAAATACAGCCTGGAAAAGATTTTTTTGCTTCCTTTACATAGCAGGTTACCTGGCTTGGCCTCACTAATTAATCTGGGGAAGCACAGCCCTGAAAAGCAATAGCTTACCCGTTCAACCACAACCAAGGAGGCTTCCTAGGGTGCTTGTTACCTCCTCAGAAAAATAATCTTCTGCAGCCAGATCTTTCCTTGGCGTGGTTTTTGACACCTGTAGCACCACTGGAAAACATCTGCAAAATCAAGATAGTGCAGAAAGCGTGAGGCAGTTGCTGGCTCATTATCATACCGCAAAACCAGCTCTCCTCCCCAGCAGCATCCTTGATTTCTAAATTTAGCACGTGAGTTATTTTGGGTAGTGTGTGATTAACCTCAATTACTGTAGCTTGGATGGAATTCAAATAATGCCCCCTCTTTCAGAGTTGGAAAGAAATGGAAATGTGGGACTGTACATTTCCTACCCTTAGTGGAGCAGCTCTGAGAGATGCTTGCACATCAGTGGAGGTCAGCTGTGCGACGCATTTGTCTGTGGAGGAACTAATGGGGACAGCTGATCCCAGAAGGTGCTGGTGGTCTATGGCTCTGTACTGGTTTGGGGATCAGGAATATAAAGAGGAAGGTTATGTGGTGCAGCTGGTGTGAATGGAACCTGGGTGGCCACAACAGGGATCACTGAAGCTTCTGTGGATTTGGATCACGGTCAGGACACTTTGTAGTTTTCCTGCATGAATTAAATCAGTAATGGAGTGAGTCTTTCAAAAACTAATCAAAAATATACTTTCCCTCAATCTCAGCCGTAATGAAGGTCAGCTCTCTGGAAAATCATCAGGGGTGGAGCAATACACAAATATGCGCCTGCACATGTGCAGATCTACACGAACACGTTGCAGGAGAGGGGAGATGCAGGATGCGCTGGCAGACGGCTGAGAAGATGCAGTGGAAAGCGGTGGGTCTGGGGGAAGGCAGCGTATTTCAGCCCGTCCAGGGAGCGCTAACGGACCAGCTCGTCGTTCGCCAGGCTGAGAATCGAAACTTTTGTCATTGCTGTAGCTGTAACTTTCCAGACTGCACTGCACCAGCTGAGCCTTTTTTCTGTCAAGCAGTTTGTCTCCAGAGGAGGACAAAACCCAGGGAGGTGGTTAGCACAACCCCAAGCCAGCAAATAAAGCTCATTTATGTGTAGCAGTGGGTGGGAAAGCTGACCTACGGCAGCTTGCTGGTAGCCAGAAGGGGCTGATACTTTGCAAACGAAGGCAGCATTTGGATGGGGGAGCCAGCCCTCCCAGCTGAAGTCACGTTTGCACAAGGAAGGGAACCAAAACTGCAACGTTTGGCACCGGGCTGACCTTGGCTTTGTGCCTCGTGGGTGGGGCAGCACCGTGACCACCCCACTGCCGCACATTTCCAGCTTTGTGCCATGGCCAAAGTGACCCTGAAGGAGTCTAAAGAGTGGATAGAGTCTGGGAAGCAGCTGTAAAATTGCCACCTCATTGCAGTAGCTATCGACTTCTTCGGGGGCTAGTTTGGTTTTGTGCTTTTTTGTTGCTTTGTAATTTATGTCCTTGTATTCCCACTAAAAATAACAGATCTGCCCAGAGTCCTACCGACGGGAAACTGCTCGCAGCAGTCACTGTGCCTCTTCCACGTGTGCTGTAATTGCTTGCTTAACTGGCAGAAACAACATTTTACCCTCAGAAGGCATTTCAGGGCCAGGCAGATGCCGAACACTGAACCACAGGGCTGTGGGCAGTGTGTTGAAAAAAGGGGAAAAAAAAAAAAAACAACCAAACAAAAAAAAAAAAATTCTCTGCTGAAGGCAGATCCAAAACCGATTGCATGAATCAGGTGGTAGCACAGGGGTGCAGCAGTACAGGGGAAAAGGGAAGGAAAAATAGCAAATGCTGTTGTGTGTTTCTGCTAAGCCGCCTTCTGCCTTTTTCTGGGTGGCAAGCAGGGGCAGGGGTTGTTTGGCTTCATGATCTGGAGCTGCTGTGTGTCTTGCCCCAGCACAGGAGGGCACCCTGCTTTTCAGGGGGTCAGATCGTCGCCAGTGAGGCTCACTGCCAGACCGGCTCACAGGGCAAAGCGGGTGTGAGACCGCGGGGTGAGGATGCTCAGCCCCAGGAGGCAGCTGGGCAGGCACCAAAACGGGGTCTGCACAGTCCCCTGGTCGTGTCTGTCTTGGGACCTGGTAAACATTGTGTGCGTCCTTTTGGGGGGGGGGGCTGTGTCCCAGAGCGGGGCCCGTCACCCCTCCCTCTCTGCTATACTTAATTGCTAACATAATACAGATGGTCAGCCTGAAGAACTTGTAAAGGTGGTGCATTGGTTCATTTTTCACCTTGATCTGCTTTTTGTTTTTATACAGCTGGACAACCCAGATGAGCAAGCAGCACAGATCAGACGTGAGTTAGATGGACGTCTTCAAATGGCAGAGCAAATTGCCAAGGTAAAAAAAGAAAGTCTTTGTATTAACAAGCTTTTCATATAGAAGCACGTAAGGAGTTTGATGCAGCCCCCAGGTCCTGTCCTTCCCTCACAAGGTTCCTCTCCCAGTAATCACCAGTTAAAAATGTGCAGATTTTTAACGACAAAGCATCAGGTACAGATGAAGCTGTTGTGATGTGCATTTCTCGGAGTGTCCTGATGAGCTGGAACAGTTTATGTTCCTGCAAAATCCCTTATGAATCCTCAGCAGTGGGGAAGAAATTGTCCTGAAGTGCTCCAGCTAGATCTGCAAGTGCACATCTAAGCCCTCTTTGTCAAATTTATATGCTGGGCAATAAGGTGGGTGATGGCATGTAAACAAAAACCCCTAAAGGGGTTTGTGCCATTTGCTGGGCCGCTGGGAGCCACAGTTCCCTACCTGTAGGTAGATGCTGCCTTGGTAAAGGTACTTCAGTTGTGCTGCCCCAAACATATTCATGCTTTGCACGAGATCGGTCAGGCTAGCGTTGCACCATGCGGACATCGCTGCCGTCTGGAGCAGCAGATGCAGGACCTCAAAACAGTTTTCATAACCAAGCACTCAGCTGAACTCCCCAGAGACCATTCTGGAAGGAGGCACCTCCTTAGGAGCAAATCACCCCCTCACGCAGTGCAGATGTACATGGCCTCCAAGGGATGGAGAGAAACCCTGGATCCTGTTGACATCAGTATGGCTGAGATTTTATCCTTGCCTCTAATCAAATACTCTGAGTCACAGATAAAGCCCCAGTGGGGCTGAAGTCATTGGGAATGATCTATCTGTCTGTTCTTGATAATCAAGAAACCATAACTAGAAGGAAAAGAAAAAGGTCTAATCAGGGAGTCGCAGCTCAGGCTAGGGAACTGCCTTTCAGCAGCAGTCCTCCTGGCGCTGAGCTGTGCCAAATGGTGGGGGTTTATGAGAAAGGTAATGTCAGAGCTTTTTGCAACCACGCTGAGATCCCTGGGTGTGAAAAGCAGAGCCCGTTCATTTATGGTCAGGCCTTAGCAAGGACGCCGGTAACGCCTGCCCAGTTACTCCTCGCTACTTCTGTTAAACGGCTACTGCTGCTGTATCTTCGGGGAGGTAGGTTCTGCTTTCCCCACTTCACTGATAAAAACAGTAAGGTGGCCAGGGACCACACAGCCAAACGATGGCGCAGCAGAGCAGCAAGCCGACTGCAGCTCCTTTGTTCAGCATTTGGCCCTTTGCCATTTTATTGTCAAGAAAACCTACAGGATTTTTTATTTTCAGCAAAATGTAAGCCCCTGCACGGAGCCCTGCCTCTCCGGTTCTGAGATGGGTAGCCAGGCACTGGGTGACAGAATGAGCTTGCCTGGTTTCGTCGTTTCGTTTTTCTCTTTATGGCATGTGGGACAACAGTATGCATGGTTCGGTAGCAGCCAGCAGAGGCTGCAGCTTCATGAAATACTGCAAAGGCAAAATTGCCATTTCCATTCCTCCCCTAAGGATGCTGAAAACAAACCATGCCACTGCTGGCCCTGCGAGAGACAGTCGGGGAAAAGTCCTCAGCATGACCTGGCATTGCCCCGTGCAGAATTCAACCTTCAGAATACAGCTGTGCAGCTTGGGGGGCGGTTTAGAGTACAAGTGACTTGGCTGTGACCCAGTTGGCAGGTATTGATATTTAATCTCCTTCACATTTCTGCTCCAGGCCTTTTCTCCAGAATGTCAAATCCCACCAGCACCTGACTATGAGAAACCTTGTTCTTTCAGACCCATGAATACCATCTTTTGGAGGCATCCAAATGACCTTTTGAATCTGTGTCCTCCTTTCCTGGCAAGGCTACTTTCCCTCTAGCATAGAGAAGGTTCATAATTCAGCTCAATGAAAAGATAGCGTTTCCAATTTTATCTCCAATTTGCAGCTCTTAATGCAGATTTGCTGCACAGGGAGACTTACTGTGCTTGTGAAACCAGCCCTGAGGTGGCTGTCTTGGAGATTCCATGCTAAATGCAAATTAACACCTCATTAATAAATTAAGAAATTCATGCTAGGACTTCAGAGGCAACGAAGACTGCAGAGACTAACGGGGCCTGGGATCACGGTGCTGCAGGACCAGTGGCTCTGCAAGCCCTCATCTGACCTGTCGTCTGGCCCCAGACAAGTCACCATGCATGCCAGCTTTCCTCAGTGACCAGGTCCTGCATCTGGATACCAGGGCACAGCTTGGGGTCCTTTTACCTCCTCGTGTGCCCAGGACAGTGCAGCTCAGCACAGCGCCGTTGCAGCATTACAGAATCACAGAATCGCAAGGGTTGGAAGGGACCTCGGGAGATCATCTAGTCCAACCCCCAGCTAAAGCAGGCTCTCCTAGAGCATTCTACACAGGACTTCGTCCAGGCGGGCTTTGAATATCTCCAGAGAAGGAGACTCCACAGCCCCCTGTCACCCTTAGAGTAAAGAAGTTTTTCCTCATATTCAACTGAAACCTCTTATGTTTCAGTTTACACCCATTGCCCCTAGTCCTGTCGCTGGACACCACTGCAAACAGACTGCTTCCATCCTCGTGACTTCCGCCCTTAAGATATTTGTACATGTTGATAAGGTCCCTTCTCAGTTTTCTCTTCTTCAGGCTGAACAAGCCCAACTCTCTCAGCCTTTCCTCCTAGGGGAGGTGCTCCAGTCCCTTTATCATCCTAGTTGCTCTCCTCTGGACTCTCTCTAGGAGTTCCTCATCTTTCTTGAACCAGGGAGCCCAGAACTGGACACAGTACTCCAGGTGGGGTCTCACCAGGGCAGAGTAGAGGGGGACGATAACCTCCCTCGACCTGCTGGCCACACTCCTCTTAATACACCCCAGGATACCATTGGCCTTCTTGGCAACAAGGGCACAGAGTCCCCCACTGAGCCTGACTCCATCAAAGCACTTAAGCCCAGCCTTGGAGCCAGCCAACTTGAGGATCATGCTCAAAGTCAAGCAGATGTTTTAAAGCTGAATCTGGACAGGCTTTTCATTCTGCGTGTCATACTTTTCCAGCAGCTAAATGTGAGCAGCGTTTCAGCTGGGAGCTTAGTGATGCCAAGGCAGAGGTGTATTTTTCTCTGCAGTAGCAAATGCTCTGGTGTCCTATGGTGCCTTTCCCCCCACCCAGACACCTGGCCTCAGAGGGCAAGGAGGAGCACGTGTAGGGGCAACTAAATGAGACATTGGGATGACACCGGAGCGATATGTCCATCTGAGGCTGGACCCACTCTGCTTCAGCCTGCTGGACTGGTCACTCCTTGCAGTCTCTTAACTCTGCGTCTCTCCACACTTGTCCCCATTTCTGGTCCTCTCCCTGCTCCAAGTACACATGGAGGTGACCAGCATCCTCTCCTGCTGTTGTCTGCATCCCTTGATTGTGTCTTCCTCCAGATTTCCCCCAGCTCTGTCTCCAGTCTGATGGGTAACTTGGGACCACACCTGCATCTCTATGTTTCCGTCAGCAGACCCAGTCCCAGTTAAATTGTTACACATCCCTTCAAACTACCTGGTTTTAGCCTTGGTTTGAGAAGTTGCTGCTGGCACGCAGGGAAACATCTCAGTCCTTGCTGCACTTCCAAAGAGGTTTGTGGGGGCAGTGCCAAAATTGCAGTCCCTGGAGAGATGGATAGCAGCAGGGTGAAAAGGCAATAATGTTTGAACATCATTGCTTCAGCAATAGATCTCAAAATCTACAAAACAGTTGTGGGGTTTCTTTTCCTAGAGGTGGCTTGCAACTTTCATAATGCATAGACAATAAACCAGACTGATTAGGTAGTTTATCTCATGCCAGGTCTAATTTACATGAGGGAATTGCTTCCCAAGATTGAGGCTGGAAACAGAAGACTTTATTTTAACTGCTTTGTGTGAGTGCTGCTGTGAGCTTGTAATGGGGAAGCTATTGAGGACTGATGCAAAAAGTAGTGCAGGGGAGTATTTTTTCAGCAGCCTGGTGACAGTTGTCTAGAAGAAACACGACCTTGTTTTCTTTTCTAGCATACATTTTACGAACTGGTTTTTACAATATTATGAATTGCCACTAAGATACTTTGCACATCAGCCTCAAGTTCCCTGGCTGCAGACGCTGCCTCGCTGTCGTACGCTTGCACAAGCTCTTGTAACCCGCTGAGAGATGTTCAAATCCTGAGCAGATTCAGGGCATGGGCAGAGTTGTCAGAAGATGTAGGGCTCAGACTAGTGATCCTAGCGGAGCCAGAGCATGGGCAGCAGTTCAAAGCTGAGAACGCACTTTGGGGCACATAGAATCATAGAATTGTTTAGGTTGGAAAAGACCTTTAAGATCATCAAGTCCAACCGTTAACCTAACACGACATCGCGTTCTGTGCTCATTGTCAGCTTTGGTTTTAATGCTTAAGGGTCCTGTTTACAACACGCAGCATGGGAGGGTCTCACAATGAAAGGTTGGAGGGAGACATAGGTCCTGGCAAGAAGTGGAAACGGCGTTTTATTCCTCCTTCCAGTTGGGCCCACATATTCCTGCCTGCACATTGCTGATCTTCCCTCCTTGGGCTCCTTTCACACCTAGAAAAATAATGAAGCAACTGCTCAGAAGTGTTTTTAAAAGAGCTGGCACATTTGGGAGATTGGAAAACGCGTCCCTAACTGTCAGCATCCTTTGAATCATTAGTAAATTACTGTCAATCACAAAGTTCAGCTGAGATCTGGCCTGGAGTGTTTGCAGTTGTGAACACATGTATGTGAAGAAGGCCATTTGCAGATAGAAGAATGAATGAAATGCAAGTGCATGCACAGAACAATATAGCTGGGTAAGTACCAAGTAGTAATTCTATGGGAAGCTAACAGTGATGTTTCTGCATTACATAGGGGGAAGCTGTAATTTGTCATCTGGTTTGTGGGAGTTCCCTGCTCACAAACCTCTCTGCAGATGCTTCTGGGGGATTCTCCCAGTGCTGATTGTCACCGCAATTCATTCTGTTGGTTTTGTTTCCAAATCCAAGGAGCGCAAGTTTCCGAAGTTTGTGTCCAAAGAAATGGAAAACATGTACATCGAGGAGCTGAAGTCGTCTGTCAATCTCCTGATGGCAAACTTAGAGAGCATGCCTGTGTCTAAAGGAGGCTCCGAGTTCAAGCTGCAGAAGCTGAAACGCAGTCACAACACCTCAATAATTGACATGGGAGAAGAAAACGAGAACCAGCTTTCCAAGTCAGACGTTGTGTTGTCGTTCTCCCTGGAGGTAAGCTTCACGCACGCAACAGTGTGCAGAGTTTGGGGGGAAAAAAAATCACAGCAGCCGACTTCTGCTTGGTCCAAACTTAAGTTAGGGGGAGAGAGTTCAGTAGAAGTCACTTGATCTCCATGAGGAACAAACGGCTCCTCTCTGAGTTACCAGAAGCTTTGCCTGTGGCCAAACACTGTGTCCTTTCTGGTGTCTCACCACCTTGTTGGAACAAACTGTGTGAAATAAATT